TTTCCAACAAAATTAGATCAGATCCACACATTTGAGCGCAACAACCCTGGTGTTAGCGTAAATGTGTACGGTTTGGACAGTAAGAAGAAGAAGAATAAGACCAATGGTAGGATTGAAGACACAACATTTGTATATCCACTCCGTGTCGTCGACCAAGAATTGGTTAATCACTTCGACTTACTATTTCTGACAAATCAAAGCACAACGCATTTTGCATTTATTAAGGATTTTGAGCGGTTGGTAACTAATCAGTTGACTCGTCGTGAGCATAGGATTTTTATATGTAAACGCTGCTTTGCATATTTTGACAACCAACCGACTAAATTAGGGCTCAGAGGGGCGGAGCGATTAGAAGAACATAAACGCTACTGCTCAAAACACACACCACTGAGAACTGACCTTGCAGAAGAAAAGGAAATTAAATTTAAAAACTATGAGCGAACTCAGCGTAGTCGTTTTACGATATACGCAGACTTTGAGTGCGCACTTGTACCACACGAAGCTGACCAACCTATCGAACCTACACCGACTATAGCACCGCCTGCTTGGGACCCAGCAGGTAATAGAATAGTAGGAGGGGGTCAGCAAAATGCAAATGCGCCTAATAATGTCAGGAATATCCATACACCGTACGCATATGCTTATTACATTCATGACGATCAGAGGGATGTCAACGATGGTGACGCAGATGATGACGACCCAGCCTGCACTACTTTCTCCAAGCTGCGACTGTACCGAGGTGAAGATGCCGCTAATCACTTCATCAACTCTGTACGGGATGACGTGCGGAAGATTGGTGACATCCTCTATGGACATAGGATACCAAATGATCCCCCACAGTTAACACCACAAGAGCAGGTGATATATCAGCAGTCCACAGTATGTCATATCTGCAAAAAAGAGTTTGGCCCTGCTGATGAAGACAATAAGGTGAGGGATCATCAACATTCACCACCGTACAGGTTCCGAGGAGCGGCACATCGGTTTTGTAACCTCCGGTACAAGGAACAAGAACAAGTGAACATGTACCTGCATAACCTATCCAACTATGATGCACACTTCATTGTCAGAGAGCTCGCAGTGGATAAAGGTGATATTGATGTGCTCGCCAACACCGAGGAAAAATACATTACCTTTTCGAAGCGATTCAAACATCCGGGAGCAGGTCGGAGGAAAAGCATCAAACTGCAGTTTGTCGATTCATACCGACTGATGTCAAAATCATTAGCAATATTGGCATCAATTCTTCCAGCTGATAAAATGAGCATAACAAGAGCTCGCTACCCGGATCAAGAAGAGTTTGACATGCTACGTAGGAAAGGCATTTTCCCTTATGAGCACATTACATCACAGGATGTACTGAACGAAGAGGTCCTACCGCCAAAACAGGTTTTTGGAAATAATGTGACAGATGATGATTATGCGCACGCTCAGCGTGTCTGGGCCAAGTTCAACTGCACAACACTCGGACAATATGCTGACATCTACCTACAAACTGACGTACTACTGTTGGCAGATGTGTTTGAGGGGTTCAGGGAGATGTGTTTAACACACTACGGCTTGGACCCAGCACATTATTTAACATTACCTTCATATGCGTGGGACGTCATGTTATTTAAGACCGGCGTGATACTTGATACTCTTCAAGATGTAGATCAGTATTTATTTTTTGAAAAGGGTATTCGAGGTGGACTAACCCAATGCGTCACTAGACACGTCACCGCAAACAATAAGTTTACCAGAATGGAAAATAAAATAGGTGATCGAAACGGTCAGTGTGCATCAACAAGCGAAGTAGATAATGAAGAGAATGATGATGATACATTTTTAATGTACTATGACGCCAATAACTTGTATGGATGGGCAATGTCTCAGCCATTACCTTACGCCCAGTTTGAGTGGCTATCACGTGCGGAATGCGATGACTTGAACATTGCAGAAATTCCATCGGATGGTGAGTATGGTTATGTACTGGAAGTGGATCTGGAGTACCCGAGGGATCATGCCATTCATGATAAGCACCGTGACTTACCATTCTGTCCCGAGGTGCGAAAGGCACCAATTTATCAATTACCATATTCATCGGATGACATCACCAACAGCGGTGCGGGAAGATCCAATAAACTTATGGCCACACTAACGGATAAGGAAGAATATGTGATTCATTATCGTTACCTCCAACAAGCTATGGAAAATGGACTACGTCTTTGTCATATCCACAGAGCACTCCGATTCAAACAGTCGCCGTGGTTAAAACCGTACGTGACACTGAATACTGAACTCAGACAGCGTGCCAGCAATAAATTTGAAGTTGAGATGTTTAAGCTGATGGTAAACGCTGTCTACGGCATGAGTCTCCAGAATGTGAGGAAACATCAAAACCTCAAACTGGTAGCCTCCCACAAAATTTACACAAAGTATGTGGCCAAGGCAAATTTCAATGACAGAGTTTGGTATAACGAGAGCCTAGCCCTGCTGCAAATGGGAAAAGTGCGAATTGTACTAAATAAGCCAGTATATGCAGGAATGTCTATTCTGGACCATAGTAAAAGATGGATGTACGGTTTTCACTACGACATGGTAGAACGATACGGATTGAATAGAATACGAATGACGTATATTGACACTGATGGGATTATTTATGCTATCCGTACCAGAAACGTCTACCGCGACATGATACAACACCTCGATGACTTTGACACTAGCAACTACCCCAACAATCACATCTGCTATGACGGAAGCAACGCAAGAGTCCTGGGAAAGTTTAAGGACGAAGCAGGAGGAGTCACTATCAATATGTTCATAGGGTTGATGGCTAAACTGTATTGTTTTGTTTTCGGTAAGAGTTCTTGCTCTGTGGGTAACGGAGATAATAACGACGATATTGGTGCGCCACCACCTGTCAAGAGAGCAAAGGGCGTTAATCGTGATGTTGTTAAAAATAAATTGACTGTTGATGACTACTTGGACTGTCTATATAACAAAACTTGTAAGAGCACAGATAATCAGCGGTTCCAAAGTAGGCATCATATTATGTACACAGTCGTGGTGAGGAAACGATCTCTTGCACCATTTGACGATAAGCGTTACGTCATGCCAGAGGATGGAATATCCACACTACCATGGGGGCATTATGCTATACCCCCCAGAGCACCTCCATTACCCGTAGCACCATTTTTACCAGCACCGATGGAGTTGGACGAAAGTTAAATTGTATAGGTAACAAGTCGCATGAGTGTGATGGTTATAGAGCGTTTATGTGTGTAATAAAACATTAAACAGTGAATATACCCTTTAAAGATTATCAAATGATAATAATAATATAGTTAATAGCAATCAGATTTTTGTCACAATTCAATGTAATAGTGATATCCTTATAATTTTTGTTGTATAATATTTTCATTTAAAGTTTACGACTTGGTCCCTGAACTCAAACTATTCTTTGCAGAAACATAATCTCAGAATATTTGCCGTAAGAAATGTATATAATGTTTATATTTCTGAATAAAGTTGATTGACTAATTGATTGAATATTTTAGTTATGATTCTAGTCTTTGTTTGTTTTCTTTTGTTTGTTTCTGTTAATAAACCAGACACATTTTGTATGACTTGTGCGTTATATTTTTATCCCATCAACCTCTTTTGAATAAAACTAAATTCGTAATTTTTCACTTGTAAAAATAATAAGGTAACTTAAAAATATAGGTATAGGTAAGTATAAATTATAAAAGACTGATTTTATAATTGAAAGCTTTTTATTTGAAATAAATCATACACTCTCAGTACAGAGGGATATATTCTTCATTATAAAAGAATATTGTTACTTTTGCAAATCATTTTTTGTTTAAGTACAATTGAGTAAAGACTTTTTTTATGATTGCATCATTTTGAGCAGTCGATGTGTTGTCAAAAAGGTGAACAAAGTCCACCATCTTCATATTGTGGTGAGTGGTACGAAGATACAGGTACACCAGACAGTAGTGAGCGCAGACAGAAGAGTCGTCACTTTGGAGGCGGTGATCATTGTAGATGTAGCGACACTTGGCGTTACGTTTCAGGAATCCCTGGTAGGTCGGTAAGTATGGTGGCTGGCCGTAGCTGTCAAAGTATTCAATTATTCCATTTCTATTCAAATAGAATGAAACCCAATGTGTACCCCCTTCGTTGTGCGGATCAGTGTTGACAATCATGGCGGTGGATGGAGAGATGTGTTGTGGGATTCGGTCAGCAGCGTAAACTCCCACATTGCTCACAGGTAGTTTGGATAGATGCCTTTCTATCTGCACTGTGTTCATTCTACAGTATCATAACCAATAGTAGCGGCAGAGGCAGCGGCAGCAGCAGTAGTAGTTGTACTAGTAGATGTGCTAAAACAAGAGCAGTAGTAGGATCTCGCATCTCCACTAGTATCCACACATTCATCCAAATTTGTTGTCAGATGTAACCACCCACGTATTGCGACACAGTTGGTGAGCGCACATCGACTGTTTATAGACTTGTGATTGCGACATCGCAAAACGTTTGTTGACATTAAATTATTGATTGAAGTGATTGATTCGCAACCAATTGCACCAATATCGATTACGTTGGTAGTAACAAAGTCCATCACATGATGACGCTTTAAATATTCTTTCTTCTCAAATCCCTTGACGTAAACCGTCGGTCTTCTTGATATACAATCAGTCAATTTGTTAAAAAGTTCATAGTACGGAATATCACCGAACTCCCATCGTAGTCCGTGGCAGTGTTTTGTGAGCCAGTAGCTTTCCCGCAATTTTTCATCTGACAACTCTGATCGATCGTAAGGTGGTTTAGCAATATGATGCATAAGTAGAACGCCGGTGTCAGCTTCCAAGACGCAAACTTCCTTCAGTGTATATTCATTTTGGTTGTCCTTGAAACATTGAATGTCCACAATGATAGGTGATGATATATTCAATTTCTTGAATGCTCTGCGTAAACGGTCCATCTCAAACGAATGTTTATAGAAGACTGATCGATTAACCGCCAAAGTCCACAATTACATTGCGTTGTCGATCAATCTCGATGACATTGTCAAACTCGGCATAAACCAAACAGTTGACAGTTTCGGGAAGCGCGTCGTCGAATCCGAGTTCCATTCGAACACTACCGTTACGCACCAGATTCCAATGTGTTGTGTCACTTGCAGATAAGTCTGGAGTTAGGTCGAATGCCATCAGACAGTATCCTTGTCCAAAGTCTTCCCTACTGATAACGGTGCCGGCATCGCTAAAATGTACACCAGAACCGGAGAACATCGAATGATATGCCATAACATATTTATCCTTTGATTTTTCAAAGTGGGGCTGTAATGGTTTTGATGGAACTTGTTCTCCGTCAACATATAGACAAAAGAAGTTTGTTTTAAAATGTTCGAAGTTGTAGGGATTCTTTTTAAAATCTCCATTGTATGCGGCATTCGTAACCATTCCCACTATGATGCGTTTCGGCACTTGGCCGAGAAACATATTGTCCAAAGTCTTGTTACGTATTCCAGAGGGTAGTGTGAATGTTTTCAGCTCCACTCGTGTGATTGGATATTTTGCCGTACCAGTCTGGAGTGTTTTACTGTGCGCCAACAGTGCGGTGGGACTTATTTTGCATCTTCTAATCCAGAGACTAATATCGACAATATGTACCTTGAATTCACCAGCGCTGGCCATAATGGAGAACGCATCTTTTGATCGAATAAATTTAAATCTCAACTCTACGCCATTTAGCATGAACTTATTCTGATTGCAAATATCCACATGCAAATGTCCGAGCATATCAATCTCACGGCTTTTATTAGTTAGCTCCCGTCTCGCTTTGAGTCCTTCATTTTCTTCCGCGCAATCGTTCATGTCAATACCATCATCCGTGTACCAAAGACTGCATGTTAGATGTGATTTTCTAGCATCGTATCCATAGTTCATTAGCGTTTCAACGTAAGCTCGATATGCATATGTGTTGTTTTGGGGCGTAACAAGTTTTTGATTCATAAACATATCCACTTGACTAAATAGTGAGTGTAACCAGTTGTTGACCGGCCCAACTGTTTTCGCCTCTTCGTCGGTAGTGACCGCAGTTCCATTAGATTTAACAATAGACGCGGTCAATTGTATCATTGTTTGTGAAAGGTCAGTATATTCATCACCATTGCCCGGAACTACAAACTCTATTGGCGCATCATCGGTCAATGTGGATATTGGTTTGTACTGGACCCATTTGCCGCTTTCAATACTCGTCTGCGTAGGTGGTAAGGAGAATAAATCCAGCTCGGTCTTGACACACTCACATGATTTTTGATGTAGAAACGACATTTTACTCCTTCTTCTTTAACTAACTAAAAATATCAATAGACTTTAAATTTTCACTGCGATAAGTACGCTTCTTCGGCGAAGTCACCTTCCTTGACTCTACTCCTCCTCGTCGTTGTCGTTGTTGTCGTCTCCCTACTAGTCTCTTGTGTTTCACTCCTCCTCTTCTTGATGCAGACGTCCGCACTCTAAGAAGTTTAGCCAACGACTGTGGTGTAACAGGCTTTCTGCCACGGCCGTGCATTGCGCGTTTCGCGGAAGCCTTTCGCGTTGCGCGTTTCGCGTTACTCTTACGCGTTACGCGTTGTCTTTTCGCGCTAATGCCACCGCCGCCACCAAGCATCATACGTTCCATCTGTTCGTCAGCTTTACGTTTCAACGATCCAGTAAACTCTCTAAGTCGTAAGTTGGCGGCTGTTTTTGGATCTGTAATTTTACCACCTGCCAGATCGGTTAGGAATCCAACACCGGATCTTAATGCTTCTTGTCCTACCGATTTTGCTCCGGACTTGATCAGCGGAGCGATGGTGCGAATCATACCGCCCAGAAAACTACCGATTCCATGTCCTCGCTGATATGGTGCACCGTGAAATACTCGATCAATAGCACCGCCAGTCTGTTGTAATTGTTGCCGTCGGTAGTATGCCAAATAGGGATCATTCAGATTGATTATCATTATTGCTGCTGTTGCTGCTGCACTCTCCTAAAATGAAGTTTCACGTACGACGTTCCAAACATGAATGGCAGTTTTTTCCCTGTGTGATCCCTCAGGTCGATTTCCACTGTTTCAAATGTGGATTTCATAACGGGTACATAGTGCGGACTTGTGAATGACACTGAATTGTACGATCCGTACTTGTACGTGTCTATATTGACGTTGACAATATTCAATAATGGCGCTGTAGTATCGCCGATAAATTGTGGCTCTATTAAGTCGCAATACACATAAATGTGTGCTGGAATACCCAGTGCGAGGTTTGGCGCTTTAGAACCAATCAGTTCGGTAATATTTGGTTTTAATATATTTTTCTCATCATAATCAAAACCCAACTGCTGTGATAGTTTTTCACTCAGACTCACATTCGACACGTTTTCGTTCATGATCCTGAGTTTAACTCTGTTGATTCCCGTGTCATATGAAAATTCCATATAATCGTGGATGTCTTCATGTTTGTTGATTGTATTCAATAGATCATCAAGATTCCTATAGTATCCGCCTGTTATTTTAATAGCGAAATGTTCTGTATCACGGATCGTTGATCTTGCTAATAAACTATCATACTGAAATCGTATTGTTTCATCATCAACATTGTTTCCATTCACCACAAATGAACAAGGATAGTGAATGTCCACCAAAGCCAATTCCCACTTGCCGTCTAATTGGATGTGTTTGGACAAGTGTGTGGTATAACTGGTCACTGTATTTTGTGGGAAATATTTCATAGAACTATTGCTGGGCAATGTCATGAAAAATTGACTGATGTTAGACATGTTGTATATCGTGCGCAGCTACCCAAGAGTTAAACTCGTCTCCGTAACCTTCCCACTTCACTAGGTATCGCTTACTGTGTCCTCGACCTTTGGTCTCTATTATTTTATCAATCTTAAACAAGTGATTGCCGGGTAGTGTGACTTTTTGTATTTCCTCTTCATAAAACTGTCCATTCAATTCTTCACCATTGAGATCGGTAAGTGTGTACAAAGGTAGCGGCATGAACACATTCACTCGATGTATGGAAAACACTTCTTTACTCCAGTTTGTCTCATAGCCTTTGCTAAATCTCCCTTTCTCCCTGGCTATTCGAACTGTATCGCCTATTTTTAATTTTGGTTTCACTCGTCGTGGTATCTTTTTAAACATATGTTTTAATACATTGTAGATGACATGTTTGTCACCACCGTCCACATCTACAGGACGTAATCTATTGCCCAAACTCCTGTGCACACTGTTGTTGTACGCATTCACCAATTTTTCCAACACATTGATGTAACGATAAGTGTTTTTATGAGTCAAGTATCGCCACATACGAGTCTTCAAAGTCCGATTTACTCTTTCGATCACGCTGCCTTTGATGTCTGGATTTTGTGTGGTGACATATTTTATTTTATATTTTTCAAACAATCGTACGGTCTTTCTACCTGTGAATTCACTCCCTTTGTCGGTTTGTAAGCACGTTGGTGTTTTTATAGCTTCTTTGAAAATATCCTCAAAAGCGGTAGCCACATCAGCACCTTCCTTCTTCTTTAACGGCCTAACATAAAGACGCTTACTAAACACATCAATCACTGACAGCAAGTAGTTAAAACCATCATTGTATTTGCTCAATCCTCGCATATCGTTTAAATCCGCTTGCCATAATTCATATGGTCGAAACACCATATACGGATTGCGTTTAAATCGTTTACGGACTGGTTTATGCAAAGTGTAAGTGTCTTGTGTTTGTAACCAATCAACTATTTTACGTTTGGAAATATTTTTCTCTCTCGCTCCTCGTACTAACGGAGCTACGCCGCCATATGAGGCAGGATCGTTTGGATTATAATACAACTGTTCCATTGTTTACGGTTCGTACGGTTCCCAATTGTTGAGTGACTGCACAATCGAATCTTCAAGCACCTCTCTTCTCACTGCACGGTGATCAGCCACTTGCCTCTGTGGATACGGAGCGTGACCCACTCGCCTCACGTATGCCGACTGTAAACGATCTGGTAATAAATATCTTCTTCGTCCTGTTACTGACACCGCGGCTCCTCCTCCTCCTCTTGTCCCATCATCAGGTTCGTCCATTGTTTCTTCTACCGAGTCATATACTGATTCGTCTGTTGCCTCGTCAAACATTAAATAGTCCAACGCTTGTTTGTTATGTATATATTCTTTAGGGACATTCATCAGTTTCAATGCTCTCAACATTTCGTTCCATCCTGGTGGTAATGAATGTGCTGCTCGAACTCGTACTATTGCATGTGTCACGTCCACTAAATTGGATCCTGGTATTTTATTACCCTGTATAATCACTTCGAAATTATCATTCCAGCTAATCAAACTGTCGTCGCGTGTTATGAATCGCAATAAGTTTCGTGCGCTATCCTTATAAGTCTTTGAAAAAGTTTCAACAATTTCCTCTATTTGACCGGGGTAAATACGTCGCTTGTTAGGTTCTTGTTGCCCATGCTGCCTGTCTCTTTCACCCACCTCGTTAATCTGATCGTCTAACCTGGTTCTCACGATGGGGATACTAACTGGTTCACGATTACTTGACGCTACGTTTAAAAACCGTTGTAAAACTTGACTGTACAACTTCCATTTATCACTATCATTGAGCTTTTTATCATTCATTATCTCTTCCATTTCGTCATCCAAACTTTTGTATGCACGTTTAGTTGGAAGTTGCTGTTGATTAGCAGGTGATTTTAAACGTTCAATTAACTCTTGTGGAACAATGACCATTTTTCTTGCATGCTCCATTGTCGTGTGCTCTGTGTAACTTCACGCACGGTGTCTCAGAATAGAATGACAAATCTTTATATGTATGTAAACGTAGAAGTCACCTGATTAATACAATTTTAGTTATTCAAAGCTGATTGTACTACTGCTTGTAACACAGTACTTAATAATAATGGAATAATAATTCCACCTCCTTTTTGTACTAAATATTTGCGTTTTTTATTCCAACATTCACCTCGTTTTACAATTCGACGAAGAGTAGTCTTATGTCTTCGCAATTTTTGTTTTGTCTTCTCTGATAGAGGAACGTTACCTCGTAACACATTGTAAATACATTCACAAACTGTACGAATAGTACTCAAGTCACACACTTTTAATAGCCCTTTGCGCTCTTTTGGAGTAGCATGTATTAACACTTTGAGTAGCGCTCTGTCCTTCCTCAAGCACGACATGATGACGACTAAATTATTTTGTTTTACTATTTTGTTTCGGTACGTACACAAAATGGTGATCATCATCTGGAAATATATTACTCTGTATTCGCATATCGTCAGGTGTTGATTGTTTCAGATCTATCAATAGGTAGCCATGTGGTCTACTTGTTGCATCGGCATACGCCTCCTCGATAAACTTTGAATTTTCTGGGTGGATTTGTCTAGCTAAACACTTGATCTGCACCCTATCTCTAGGATTCTTAAAACAAACTAAGTAATGCGCATTTAGTGATATGTCTCTCTGGCCACGTCCTTGGTGGAAAATATTTTGAGTTATAAAAAACACACTTATATTCCTATGATGACAACCTTTTGTAAATAGATCAACTACTATGTTGTTTGTTTCTCGCATCATATCATCTATTACCACAAGTATCGGTTGATTACCGTCAAAGTCTTCCATGTTTGGTAAACCTTCAATGTAT